ACCCCCCTAGGGCCATATTAAAACTATATCAGTGATTTTAAAAACTATGTATTTAATTTTCTTTCTGTTGAGACAAATTATTGTTGATTAAAATGAAAATTTCAGCAGAATCGACAATAATTTAACACACAAAGTATGAAACTTCGTTTAATTGTAACATTAGGCACATGGAACTGTTGACCTTTTTTTTCTTTTCTTTGTTTTTTTTTCTTTGAATTTTTTAATTCTGAATTTTCAGCTTCTACTTTTCTGCTTTTTATTTCCTTTTGCAAATCAGCTCAACACTTTTTCCGCTGTCATTTTCTGGGGTGGGCTGTAATTCTCGCTGAAATTGTAGTTTTTTTAATGTAGTGTAGGACCTACAAACACGTCTTTTTCTTCTACCCGCGACCCCCCGTGTAAGGCTTCGCGGCCCCCTTGGGAGTCGCGACCCACAGGTTGAAAAACACTGTATTAGATTACTAAAATTACTATACAACAATTCAAGGATTTAGATCTGTGTGATTACAAAAGTAAATCCTTAAATCATAACAATAAACCGATAAAAATTCCCGTGTAATTTTTACTAAATGAGAAACGACCTTAATTTAACTGCATTCTTTCTTTCAAAAGTAATCGGGTTTTAAGAAAAATGTGCCTGTGATGATGATAGACTTGATAATATTATTAGATTTTAAATAATAAATTTAAAAATTTATTTTTCAGCTTCATTTGTTTTTAATGTTAGTTCTCAGTTATATTTTTATTCATTTAGCGATGTCTTAATGCATAAAATATAATTACATAATGAAAACATCAATTTATATTCGAATTTACAAATGCAAGATATTTTTTTTTTTAGTTTTCTGTAAAACAAATCCAACAACAATAGAAGACCCTGACATTAAAAAAAATTATTAGTTTATTTCACCATAAGTAAAGAATTGGTCATATTAAAGTAATGTTATAAGATATAGTTCGAAAATTCGATATATTGTATTAACAATGAAGACATTATTGTTATAAGTCCGATTATAGAATAGAAAGAATTACACAACTACATAAATTTGTATTCGAAAAGTTGAATGAGTTAAAGGATGACGTGAACTCTGAATAGCTACTTCCTGAAACCTGGATATTTAATGGCGGATAACGTAGTGGAACATAATTAGCGATCTGTAAGATTCCGTGCAGATGTAACTAGGTCATTTTAATATCATCTGCTTTATTTTGAAATAAAATGTTCAAGCTTTAGTTCAAAAATAAATTTATTAAACGTGTTAATTTAATATTGCAGCTAAAATGTTGCGGAGTTAAAGGCCAAGAGGATTATAAAGGTGAAATACCAGAAAGTTGCAAAGACAACGGAATTATTTATAAAGAGGTAATCATTGTTTAAAAAGTGTCCTTAACTGTAAAGAATAAATAAACGAAGTTAATTTATTTCAGGGATGTCTGAAGAGAATGGAGATTTTATTGAAGGAAAAAGCAGCCGTTTTGGGAGGCATGTCGGCTACTATAGCAATACTAGCGGTAAATATTAAAAAAATAAAAAAAAAACAAACTATTCCGTATAATATTTAGATGTCTTTGTTAAAACCCGTTTTGTCTAGTTAAAACTAGAATTTACTGCTAGTCAAAAATGAATTTGAGTTAAAACTAGTTTCAACTAGACAAAACGGGTTTTAAAAGGGTGAGGTTTAAAAAGCATTCTGTTTTAATAACGAATTTATTAAATTTTACAATATAAATATACAGAGTTACACAATACTGTAGACCAGTGTTTCTCAAAGTGGGCGATAACGCCCCCTTGTGGGCGCTGGAGGCTTTCAGGGGGGCAGTAGAAGGCTCAAAGAGAATTGGGGGGCGTTAAGGAAATATAGAGGGGCGACGGCAGACAAATTCTATATATAAAAATTTGACGGAATATATATAAAATGTTGACATTTTATATNAATTAAAAAGCACTATATAAAGATACACATTGTATATAGTAGTCTAAACCTCTATCCTAAATTTGCATATAATTTGTATATTTATTCGAGAAGAATTGTTAATAAAATTGTATTTTTATATTATAAATAAAACTTGTGTTAAGAAAACGTCTATTGATTTATTTAACCAAGTGTTCATTTTGTCGATTGTAACGCCATCTGTTATTTTGTATGTTACGTTGAAATTAAAGTACAAAGACAAATAACCTCGATTACTCACTACAGTATACTTTATATATATATATATTTTATTACCGGAGCATTTCGAAATATACTAATAATAAAACAAATGAATAATTTTACAACCGGTAATGACGTCATGTATTTGTCGGAGTATACACGTGATCCTGTTACTATAGCAACCAAAGTTGTCGTTAGCTACAGATAAGGAGAACCAGATTTCTTCACTTTCGTCTAATTGGGAGTGGTTGTGTTCTTGCAAAATGATCTGTATGAAATATGTATTCTTCGTCATCAACTTCCTTCTGTTCGTAAGTAAAACATTTAACACCTGTAGATCTAGGTCTATTACGTAAAAATATCCTTTACGACTTTATCGAAATTACTGATAACGGTTAACGTTGCGCTATTATTGACTGATATAATTTTTAATAATTTGTATTACAAAAAGAAAATCTAAAAAGATATACAAATAGGGTGCGCATTGAGTTGGCCAAGTGCCACACAACTTCTGGATATAACGTTAAAGTCTACCGTTTCCGAAATATTGATTCATTTTTATTCTCCGAACAGTTAAATTATATTTTGTATTTTAAACTTCTAAAATTTTAACTATATTTTACCTGTTTAAAGTTTTGGAATATATAAAATATTCTAAAAGTAGATTACAGTATAATTAGAATGTCCTAATTTTTAACTTGCTCGGATATTTTGTGATTTAAGTGTTTAGGTATAGCCGTTACGGGAATCGGAATATGGATTTTAAAGGACGAAAGAATAGGACATTATTCAGTCGACGAGTCCTTCGAAGCTACAGAATTGTTATATAAAGCATCGTATGTAGTTATTGTTTTTGGACTGACATTACTTATACTAGGCTTCGTAGGATGCTGCGGCGTATTTATGGACAGCTTATGCCTTATTTGCTTTGTAAGAAGTTTTATTTTATTAAATTAAAAATTGTATATACAGTATGGTAAAATTTAACCTACTTTTTATATAGTTCGCCAGCTTCCTCATTGTGCCTATAATACTTTGTATAGCGGCATTAGTTGTTGCTTGGTATGCCTCCAGCAACCAAAAGGTCTGGATAATAAAATGTTTTATCATAGGTCATATAAATGTTAACTCGTTTCATTTTCAGAAGATTTCTATATATGTTAATAGGTAAGAAGTTTAATAGAAGAGCAACTTGATGACTATCAGCTGAAATCCGAAATTTTTAGTGAAATTGAATATAAAGTAAGTAATAGATAACTAAACACTTGAAACAAATTTAGGTAAAAATTTGAATATAATGTGTAATGATTTTAATAATAATTTATATATTTTTTTAACTTTAATGAAAAAATAATACGGGCAAGCTGCCGATATAATCGAATAATTATTAATAATAATAACAATCGATGGTACGTTACAACAAATACAAAAACATTTATTTTAAATGATTTTAAATATTCAGTTATAATTATTTATGAGTGAATGCATTATTTTAGATGTATATTGTAACATGAACTTTGTACCATTTCTACATTTCCAACGAAGTTTACAAAGCAATCGAAGTCAATACTCAGCATGATATCCGCCAATGGAATTATTTACAAAATCTATCGTACTTGTTTCAAATAACAAAAATATTTCCGAGTTAATAAATAACAAAACAAATGGCAATTGTTTAAGTGATATTCTTTTAATAAAACCTTAGTCATATAATAAAATACACGAATTCCGTTAGCATGCTTCTATATAAATAAAATGTTTAATCACATAGTTTATTAAATTCATTCAGTTTTCCCAACGAAAAATTATAAACTTGACGAAAATAAATTTATGGTAAATATTTGATTGATTGAAATATCTTTCTTTTTCCATTAATATAATCCAATTAAATAAATATTTAAATTTTAAAAGCTTTTTATAATTTATAATAAATTTAAATATGAATATTTTGAGTATTGAAAAGTGTACCGATTTAATTATGCTTATTTTGTTTATGGAATGCTCTTAGTTGGAATGCTGCGGTGTACGTGGATCGGGTGATTATAGAGGAAATATACCCGAGTCATGTCGAGATTCGAAAAGTAACGTCTTACATACCGAAGTGAGTAGCACTTATTTTTAATTTGACTAAATATTTATCAGTTCGAAGACTTTTATGACTTTCGTACAGACATACAATTATGAGAGTACATAATTGTATGTCTACATAAATATATTATGAGAGTACATAATTGTATTACATAAATATTTCTTTGCAGAAGCAGATAAATAATTAAATGATTTTATATAATAATTTTAAATATTTTTCCTTACTGTAATATCGAATATAATTTGTTTGGTTTTAAAAGTATACTCATTTTCCTACTCAGTTTCTAATTTTAATTAGATGTTTGTTTTTGATTCTTAATTATAAACAATAGTCTAAATATGAAATCCTGTCTAAAGAAGTAAAACACTAATCACGAAAGGAGTAAAAAATTAAAACATTTTTTATTTACATCGTGAGCGAAAAAATAGTAATAAAGAAAATTTTAAATGAAGTTTTTAATACTCATGTTTTGTGACTATTTATTATTTGAAGTTCCGTGATTACTAATCGTGTCGAAATGCTTAATTTTATAACTGCAAGTGCTGTTGTTGAATATTTTTTTACCGTTATGATTTTTTCCATTGCTTTTCGTTGATTTATGTAGCGTTATTAACGTACGAAGAAAACAAGAGTAGTAAAAATAATTTAATAAAAAATGTCCAGTAACACGTGACATCTTTTACTGAGACGTTTATTTCATTAATACGTCAAAGTTAATTACATTTACTTTACCGTATTTTTCGAACCGTCGTTTTTATCCTATTACGACGTTTGAATATATTATCTGGATCTTATTTTAAGTAGTTTAAAATAAATTCGGTAAAAACAAATGCTATACGACGTGTGATTTAGTAAAAATGATTGCTTAAGAAATTAATAAAAACAAGTACAGTATAATTTTCGTAGAAAATGAAGTTTGTTACTTATTAAATAAAAATAAAAAGATTCATTTTAAAACAGAAATGCTAATTCTCACTTTATGAACGAGTCTGTCAAATTATCTGTAAAAAAATTGAATAGGTACTGTTATTTGTGAAAAAGTATTAAGAAATATTAGGAACTAGCAGGTGGGCCCGGCGTTGCTCGGGCAAAAGTAACGATAACTAGGATAAAGATTATTACGTTACAGTCAACCTTACCCGTTTTCACAGAATGCAAGAATTGGGTCCCCTTGTTTCCAGACTAATTAGAGAATTTTTAGATGGGTCTAAAAATATGTTCGATTTCACAGAATGCAAGAATTGGGTCCCCTTGTTTCCAGACTAATTAGAGAATTTTTAGATGGGTCTAAAAATATGTTCGATTTCCCGTAAAAACGAAAAAAAAAAACTGCATCTGCGAATCGCACGTCGCTTTCTCTTAACAATTCCATTGTTGACACTTCCATTGTTACTTAAAACTTTTATTGTTACTTAAAACTTCCATTGTTACTTAGCACTTCCATTGTTACTTAGCACTTCCATTGTTACTTAGCACTACCATTGTTGATGGAAGTGTTAAGCCTTAATCCTGTTCCTCTCCCCCGTGGGGAGGAATTTCGAAAAATCCCTTCTTAGTGTGCGTTCTCCTAACGTACTCTAACTGTGTACCAAATTTCAACTTTCAACTCCTAACCGTTTGGGCTCGTATCCATAATGTATATAGAAGTTTTAATCCTGTCTCTCTCCCCCCGGGGGGAATTTCGAAAAATCCCTTCTTAGTGTGCGTTTTCGTGACGTACCCTATCTGTGTACCAAATTTCAACTTTCAACTCCTAACCGTTTGGGCTCTGCGCTGATTATTATTATTATTATTATTATCAACCCGTCTCGATTATATATTAGATAGTAACAATATTACAGAAATTACATGAAAGCTATTAACAATTAACAGAAAGAAAATTAAATCTAGTTCAGATCTCGGCAATTTCCAATTATTTTTAGAAAATATAGACATTATATAGGCCTATGGCTTTGATACTTTACAGTATAAAGTTTATACTTCAGCGTAAGATGTCTAAGAAATTTCTCATTTTAATTTATACAATGGTTACAAAATTTGAATAACCGAATTTTTGTAATAATTTATTAAATTCTTAAAATCGAGATGAAAACTTTAAATCGATAACTATTAAATTTGAATAAAAATATGTTTTTAAATCGTCGCAATCGTTTCTTTAACTCAGCTATACGAATAAAAACATAAATAAACCAACAGCATTAATATACAGATGGTGAAGTTACGTTTCTTATTAAAGAAACTTCCCCGATTAATTAAAAAACATTATAGCTAAAAACATTTTTTTTAATAATAAAAAAGAATTACGATTTCAAATCAGTGTGAATCTCCCGGGTTTTGGTCGACCCTGTCACATATTTTTGGGTGGCCGTTAAAATGTCAGAAAATCGGGAATATGTGAATATTCCGATTTTATTGAAAGTTTGTCAAGATCACCTGACACCACGTAGTCAAATTTAATGTGGGCGAGAACGCGATTTTACTTTATCATAAGTTTCCGGATTTATAAGAGGTATGTACCGGTACGTGTGCTTGACGATGGAGTTAGTCCTCATAAAAACTAGTCTGTCTCTTTTAGACTATGACAAACGGATTTATTAACGAAAACAATGAACAACAAGAAATCTAAACATAACGTTCTTAAATTCTAATATTAGAATCCAAAAAGTATTTAGTTTATCTATTGAATCTATCCCTTAGCTATCTTATTGCTTTAACATCTAACAAATGAGAGAGTGTTTGCAGTAACATTAATGAACACAATATCTTAGTTGGACCGTTCTTCACATGCTTTCCTCTTAAGTTTCTGACGGGAGTAGTCTGCATTGTTGGCGGGAAACTCTTTTGATTCCAGACACGAACTTTCATTGTCTGTCAATTTCGGTTTATGTTCGGCCAGTGGCGGATTTCCGAACAGGTGCACGAGACGCGCCTGGGGCCTAATATATCAAGGAGCCTCAAAATTCAGCTTTAAAAATTTCAAAAAATACATTTTATTTAATTATTAATTATTTTTATTATGAAAAAATAATAATTAAATAATAATTTAGCAGTATTCCCTAAATTAAATTGACAAATGAATAACGCCAGCTATAACATGTTTTATGGGTGGCAACCCTAGTGGTGATATTTCGAACCATGTGCACTGACTGTTCAGCACACAATGATACAGATCACAAACCCCCGCGTTTCTTTATGCAGCGAGAGTGTAGCAAAATGACGTCACGAGCAGTGTTGGCCAATTAGAAACCAGTTTCAGTGTGTTCGCTGTAAAGCGCTTCTCGAGCGCTGCATAAAGAAACGCGGGGNTCAGGGTCAAGCTGACGGGAGAGGTGGTAATCGTAAGTCGAAAGGGTATTTTTGTCAATGTTGAATTTTTGATAACATCGATCAAGGTCAAACTGGGAATCTTACCTCCTCTTCATACGAGTCGCTATAATCTCGCCAGGGTAAGATGACGAGATTTTTTCTGCCAAATAGTACGTTTAATTTCTAAGTTGATTGGAGTCAATCCTGATATTATCAAAAGGACGAGTGGGTGCAATCCTATAATCCTCACAAATGCAGAGAGCTGCAATCCTTTGAACAAATAAGTTTTTTACAGTTATGGACTTTGGCGGCCACGTGGCCCCAAACCTGTATGGCATAGAGGAGTGCTGGCTAAATTTCACCCCTGTAAATAAGCTTAGTAGCGTTAGGGCCAAGGCCCCATGTGTTCCTAACAATACTAATGTGGGCGTTGGCCGTCTTTTTAGCTTTGTCCGTGATGTATTTGATGTGGGATGTGAAATTAACTCTCTCCTCAAGAATAACACCTAAATATTTAATTTCCATTGTTTGCTTTATTCCTGCTAAATCTATAGCAGAACTTCAAGAAAAAATATCGAAAATTTAATAAGAGATTTTAGATTTTCAAAATGACATCATATTAAAATCTCACGATTCAGATGAAAACTTTTGGAATTTAGTTAATCATAAAAAGTATAATCTTGAAAAAAGATCCTTCAAAATCAAATCTTGTTTTTGTTCTACATATGTGCGCAAATCTTTATTTTCCACTACGAATATTATAAAATCAAAAATTAGATCCCAACTTACTAATGACAACCTTGAAGATTGTTTACGATTGGGATTATCATCTTATACTCCCAACTGTGAGAAATTAACAAATGAAATGCAGTGTCAAAAATCGCACTAATTCTGCTTTTATAATAAATGTGTAATATGTTATAGTAAATATATGTTACAAAATGCATGTTATAAATAAAGAATATAATATTTCATTTTTTTTTAAATCCGATTTGTGCCCGCCACTATTTTTGAAATCCGATTTGCGCCCGCCACTATTTTTGCAATCTCGAATGCACCTGCGGCACATAAAGATTGGGAAAGAACCCCTATACTAATTAAAATATCAAACACGAAATTGAATTACACCGTTGTTTTCTGTTAAACAGTATCACTAGGACTCTTTATTCTGTTAAAAGTTTTATTCCATCAGACACGTTTGTAATGGTTCTTGAACGCATTCGTAAATGTGTGACTGCACATGCACAGCGTTGCCAGATGTTTTTTGCCCTTGTAGCCAAATAATTTTTAAAAAGTAGCCCAAAAGTAGCCAACTGCTGAAGCAGTTGGCTACTTTTGGGCTACTTTTTAAAAATTATTTGGTTACAAGGGCAAAAAACATCTGGCAACGCTGTGCATGTGCAGTCACACATTTACGAATGCGTTCAAGAACCATTACAAACGTGTCTGATGGAATAAAACTTTTAACAGAATAAAGAGTCCTAGTGATACTGTTTAACAGAAAACAACGGTGTAATTCAATTTCGTGTTTGATATTTTAATTAGTATAGGAGTTCTTTCCCAATCTTTATGTGCCGCAGGTGCATTCGAGATTGCAAAAATAGTGGCGGGCGCAAATCGGATTTCAAAAATAGTGGTGGGCACAAATCGGATTTAAAAAAAAAATGAAATATTATATTCTTTATTTATAACATGCATTTTGTAACATATATTTACTATAACATATACACATTTATTATAAAAGCAGAATTAGTGCGATTTTTGACACTGCATTTCATTTGTTAATTTCTCACAGTTGGGAGTATAAGATGATAATCCCAATCGTAAACAATCTTCAAGGTTGTCATTAGTAAGTTGGGATCTAATTTTTGATTTTATAATATTCGTAGTGGAAAATAAAGATTTGCGCACATATGTAGAACAAAAACAAGATTTGATTTTGAAGGATCTTTTTTCAAGATTATACTTTTTATGATTAACTAAATTCCAAAAGTTTTCATCTGAATCGTGAGATTTTAATATGATGTCATTTTGAAAATCTAAAATCTCTTATTAAATTTTCGATATTTTTTCTTGAAGTTCTGCTATAGATTTAGCAGGAATAAAGCAAACAATGGAAATTAAATATTTAGGTGTTATTCTTGAGGAGAGAGTTAATTTCACATCCCACATCAAATACATCACGGACAAAGCTAAAAAGACGGCCAACGCCCACATTAGTATTGTTAGGAACACATGGGGCCTTGGCCCTAACGCTACTAAGCTTATTTACAGGGGTGAAATTTAGCCAGCACTCCTCTATGCCATACAGGTTTGGGGCCACGTGGCCGCCAAAGTCCATAACTGTAAAAAACTTATTTGTTCAAAGGATTGCAGCTCTCTGCATTTGTGAGGATTATAGGATTGCACCCACTCGTCCTTTTGATAATATCAGGATTGACTCCAATCAACTTAGAAATTAAACGTACTATTTGGCAGAAAAAATCTCGTCATCTTACCCTGGCGAGATTATAGCGACTCGTATGAAGAGGAGGTAAGATTCCCAGTTTGACCTTGATCGATGTTATCAAAAATTCAACATTGACAAAAATACCCTTTCGACTTACGATTACCACCTCTCCCGTCAGCTTGACCCTGACGTTTACTTCGAAGTTCCAGATGATCATGCCATGTTTAGGATTTACACTGACGATTCCAAGATGGATGACGATGTGGGTGCCGCTTTGTAGTTTACTCCGACTTAGGCCGCGAGCTTCACAACGCTTGCTTCTGTGTAGGTATACACTGCTTGATAGCACAGTCGGAAACTTTAGCTATTTGTATGAGCTTAATTCACATCAGGCGTAGAAGGACTAGAGGATTTGATCCCGGGATCTCGAAAATCGGGATCCCGGGATCCCGACCACTTTTCAGTCCCAAAATTTTCGGGATTAAGTTTTCCTAATCCCGGGATTTTCGGGATNTCAGTGATGCTTAAAAAAGAATAAATTTAACATGAAGACAGTGATTTTAAGTCTGGTTAGTCTGACTGTAAGTCTGATTAATTAGAGTGATTAAATTAACTAGGTGTATACCGTAAAATACGTTGATTTTTGTCTAAATTTTGATTTTTAATTTCTGTAAGATTTTCTTCTTTTTTATTAACCCTCAATACCGAAATAATCCCGGGATTCCGGGATCGAATAAGTATAATCCCGAAATCCCGGGATTAGAAATAAGGACCGGGATCGAATTCCCTAAGAAGGACAAAAGACACTACTTACACTATCGCATTTATTCTGAATTAGGGTAGTTTTACACAGGATTGCGAAGTCTGATAGCCGCTTAAAACTTGTCCATCTCATACACCACATTCTCACACACTTAGACAACAATATTAGAATAGATTTCCAATGGGTCCTGGGTCATGCGAGGGTTTTCGGCAACGAGACTGCTGACCGTCTTGCCAAACAAGCTGCAAAGTCTTCAGTCACTAGTACTTTCAGTTACATTTCTACCTTGTACATTGACAATCACGTCAAGAAGCAAATCTTCATTCTCTGGCAAGACAGCTGGGACCATGACATCACTGGTAGGCTCACCTACACTTTCATCTCCAAGGTTGACACTACTGCGATTCTCGTCACCCTGACTCAGCTACTTACAGGGCACGGCAACTTTAAGCAATACTTGCATAGATTTAACCTTGGAGACATCCACAATGCGATTGTGGTATTCAGGAGGATCAAACACAACTTCACTTAGTTTTTCGCTGCAATAGGCACAATCACATTAGGGATAGTTTAAGTTTCATATTCTGTTCTTTATTATTACGTATTTGTGTAAACCAAATGATTGATATTAATTATATGATGACAGAAACTCGCTATGTTCAATTATCAACATTATTAAAAATTTTGTTATTTTATTAAAAATAAAGGGAAAAATGAAATCGTAGATTACTACTTTGAAACGAAGAAAATGAAAACATTCAGAATTATTGATACATTTTTATAGTTATTTAAATTAAGAGCATTTTAAAGTTAAATAATTGAATTTGTATGTTTCATAAATTCTTCCTAATAGAATCATTTCATTATTTCAAATGCAATCGATCGTTTTTCTTTCTTTATCAATAAGTTTCCCTCCAAATTTTTATATTTTAATATTACACTACGATCTTCAGTAGTTACTTTGTACTAAAAAAATAATTTAATATTGTTACAAATCTTAAATAAAACCACTTTATTATTTTTTATTTAACTAAATTATCCACAACGATTTTAAACAATCGAATGAAAGCAATATTACCAGCTAGAAATTGTTGGTTTTTTTATTAACAATGTAACGAATAAATAAATAAATTTAAATATTGTGAATATGTTTAACATATAAACAGATTAAAATTTCAACAACGATATTTTACAAAGTTATATTATTTTCAGGGATGTTTGAATAAATTTTTTGAAGTATTAAGTACTATGTCTGGTGTTATATGCGGAATGTCATCGACGATTATTGTTTTGGCGGTAAGTAATTTAAAAGAATATAAATATTAGAAAACATTACAATATTCATTTTATAACCAACAAATCGAGCGCATATTTAACTTATTTTTATTATGATTAAAATACTTATCAAGCAATAAACAGTTCTGTTCTAATTAGCTTCTGTAAATCGGGAGATTTACGAAATCCTTATTAATTAAATTTTTATTTTTTTCTAAATGTACCGGTTTGTGGTTGTGATAACATATTCTAATTAATTTATACCACGATGATACAATTTTGATGGCTTTCAAAATTTTAATAATAGAAATTTCAATTAAAGTAATTCTGGCTGTTACGAATTGTGTATATAATTTATATATGATAATATTAAAGCAGTTTAATTTAAAGGATGTTTTAAAAACATTACTTTATCGGTTAATCGGTACGTACAGTACCTTTATACGGGGATACGAATTAATAGTTAGTTTTGTTTAGAAAATGATATTTAGCTCAAATTGACTTATTTGTGAAGTCTTTTTATTTATACATCTGAATATTATATAGTCTATATAAGTATAATAAATTCTAACAATAAGGCAATTGATTTATATATGTAAATATATATACAATATATATTCTTGTAAATATATATACAATATATATTTACAAGAATAGAAGAATAATATTTACTCAAACTCTTTCTCGTGTTAAGGCGCCACCAAAAATGCGGCATTCATAACGTGTCCCGTTATGGACGGGACCATCCCGTTTTTAGGTAGCCCATCCCGTTGTCCCCAAGCACAGCTTTCGGATGCCGAAATGTCCCGTTTTTAGAAAGAGAACAACCCACGGTAACAATTTCGAAAAAAAGCGTGAAAAATAAATAAAATAAAATCATCCGACCTAGGTAGCCTAGTAGGGCAGCAATGAGGGCACGGCAATACGTCTCACACATATGTAAAGCCTGGTACTCACATGCGGCAACGGACGACGCAACGGTTGCCGTTCCGTTGTCTTTCCGTGTCGCCTGTACTCACGTACGGAAATTACCCTACAACTGAAACGCGCCATCTGCCAGCCGTAAATATAAACAAGCTACTACAGTAGATAGGCCACGTGCCAGTAGTCGAAAATGGCGTCTACCTGGATTGCTTTGTTATATCAATTAAACTTTTTAAGTTTGCCTTCGACCTTATCACAAATAGAAAACCTCAAAAACGAATAATTTGGATAGGAAAAATATTCTAAATCGTCGAAAGTTAGGAATATCGAATACTTTCGTCGCCGAATTACGCCGAATTCCCAATACTTTACGCAGTAAGTAAGTCTATTTGACATTAGATCGGATAGTAATACTGTATAGCGTATAAATGAAATATATTACCCTATTAGTGTACAAATAAAGCTTTTTAGCTTGCCGACCGCCATAGTTCGAACGCTATCGCCCCACGTGATCTTTATGACGACATTGCTAAACGGCCTTCCTATTGGTCTAATTTTTGCCGTTCCGCTTTCCACGACGGCAAAAGTTAAAAATTTTCAACATCGTGTTCCGTCGGCTTCGACTGCAAAAGTGACGTCATTTTGCCGTCCGTTGCGCATGTGAGTACCAGGCTTAAAGTCGGTCAGAAGCACGGTAGCTCGCTCGCTCCTGGGTTTCGAGTATGCATAGACGGCTGGCGCATCTTTATTGACCATTGATTATTGTTTTTGTCAATGTCAATTTAAATTTCTTGTTCGTCAACTCTTCATTTTAACAATGCCTAAACGCAAATGCATTTTTAATGTTAACTTACAAACTCGTTTATAAAGCAAAGAACTACTCCATCGAACGTCAGATATGAAAAGTATCGCAATTTAGCAACAGTTATGAGAATTTAGCACAGCCCATGGAGGTGCCAGCGATATTAACTGACATTTAAGATTAGAAAAACAAAAATTCCGATCCTGCTGCAGCTTCAAGTTCTTCGATGTTAATTTTTCAAGAAAACGGATTCACCGACTTCGAAAGATCTGGAAGTTTCTGCGACAGAAGACGTCTGTGCTTATTATACGGTGCGAGAGAACCACAGTTTTTTGCTCAAACGATTGTGCTAAGTTAATTCAAACATGTTTTGAACAGCAATTTAGATGTGCTCGTACGAAAACAGAAGCTATTGTTGTAAATGTGTTAGTGCCAATAGTAATAGGTGAATTAAAAGACCGTCTCGGCCAATGAACTGGGTCTAAATTAAAAAGTCCTTTTAGATCCGACAATTCTCGAACCGTAATGTGTACAGTACATAATCACCATACGACGAAATCCTCCAATTGAAATTTTTTGCGAAGATTCGTCACCAGGGGACAGCTAAAAATCTACATTTACCAGCGCTTATTCTTCAGTAGATTTAAAGCTCAAACATCCCTAAGCGGTCTTTATCCCTAAACACGGTCGTGGGTTCGCGCCTCGCTCGACGGGCTGGCCAAGTGGAGTTTTCCGAGTTTTCTCCACGTCTGTAACGCCTGAATAGGGGCCAGTTTTTCTTAAAAACCCCAGAAGGCAGTCTTTCCCCGCGCGCGTGTGGCATTCCATTTATAAGATCTGCTAATCGGACGCCTAGCGTTCATAACTCGCTCTCTCTGAGTATAGAGCGTATATGTGCTGAACACTCCATATCAACCAATCAACGAAAGAAAGTGGTATGGATAGAAAGGAAACACGACGTCTGTAATTAATGTCATCGGTTCCTATTTTTTATTAAATTTTTTTTTGTGATTTTTAAAGGATTTTTAATTTTGACGGCCAAAGAAAGGTCGGTCGTCAAGAAAGTTTGCATTCTGGAACACAAAGTGAATAAATGGTGGTTCCTTTTGGACAGACTTTCACTTCAAAATTTATTTTTTATTGAATATATTTTACGTCTGCTCGACACTAATGCACCCGTAGAAATGGTCTTTTCTCTTACGAATAAGTTATGAACGAGCGAAAAAACACAGTTGCAAGTCGCAGTTCTTAAAGTAATGTTAATTACTGAAGTAAATTGTAAGAAATCCTGCCAAGAAATTCATTCTTATTTGAAATCAACACCAAATATAGTCAAACAAAATTTGTTCTGCAGAAAAATATAAGACCACATAAATTATTTATTTTCACGCATTCATTCCTGTTCTTTCCATTATAAATAAAAACTAGGAAGAAATATGCGTTTTCTCTTCATTTCTATCTTGAGTTTTCTCCCATCTTGAATTGTTTCTGCACATTTGTGTGTACGTTACTATCAGAAAACACATAGCAAACTTTATCTACGAATAAAGTCTCTACGTTTGCTACTGTTTTTTGTGACCAACGAACTGTGTCTGTTTGTGACCAACGAACTGTGTTAAATATCCGATGTGAGGACTAACTCACAGTTACCTGTGAAGATAGATCTAAAAACAATATTCTCAAACCCTCATTGCATTGGCAGACAGACATNGCAAAGAAAGAACCTAAAGTGCCTTTTTAATTTTATGTAGATACTTTAATTTTTAGAACTTCAACGAAATATCATGTAAGCCTGCTACATCTTTTAGGTTTTTACAGAATGTAACAAATGATTTATATTCTTAAAAAATGCAAAAAATTTTAGATTCTTTTAAATATCCGATGTGAGGACTAACTCACAGTTACCTGTGAAGATAGATCTAAAAACAATATTCTCAAACCCTCATTGCATTGGCAGACAGACATATTTTTCTATAGTGCCAAGTTTCTCTTAGTTTTGTTAGTTATCTCTCTAGGAAGTAGCCTTTGGTCTATCAGAACGCTAATTTTTTCATTTTTTTTCTGTATTTGACTACAAAAGCGGCATTAAAATGGCCAACTGTATTTGTTTACACTAATAGTTCAAAGGCTCATGTTAGATCACCGTTCGTCCGTCGTGTCCTGATGGCGTAGTGGCAAAGTCACTTCCATCAGCATCACGTCTTCTCTACAGAATTGCATATTATCATTCAGGCACTCGAATATATTAGTTTGGCGAGACCGACTTTCTATTGGTTTTTCAGACTGACTCAGCTCTCTTTAGTTTTTGATCTCATTGCAAACTGCAATGAGATCAAAGAGCAATGAGATGCAATGAGAGATGCAATGAGAGTTTCCCATTCATCCACATTTATACAAGTTCGCAAAAATTATATAGTGTACTTTAAAAGACTATGGACTGATGATGAAAATCATCGAAAGGTTTAGTCAGTTTTGAAAATTTAAAACAATGCTAAAAATGTATATATGCTTTATATGCCTATATATATGCTTTACTTAATATCAAGCAAATAAAAACAATCTAATAGTATGAATTACGATAATTGAATTGTTAGTAATAGTTCGCAACATGCTGCATAAAATAGGAATCTCGGTAAATGAAGTTTCTTTAATATGAAAACTAAAGGGTGATGGTCTTCGTATACCTAAAATTGCATCAAAAGTTGGCCATTTTAATGCCGCTTTTGTAGTCAAATACAGAAAAAAAAATGAAAAAATTAGCGTTCTGATAGACCAAAGGCTACTTCCTAGAGAGATAACTAACAAAACTGAGAGAAACTTGGCACTATAGAAAAATATGTCTGTCTGCCAATGCAATGAGGGTTTGAGAATATTGTTTTTAGATCTATCTTCACAGGTAACTGTGAGTTAGTCCTCACATCGGATATTTAAAAGAATCTAAAATTTTTTGCATTTTTTAAGAATATAAATCATTTGTTACATTCTGTAAAAACCTAAAAGATGTAGCAGGCTTACATGATATTTCNCAAAGGCTACTTCCTAGAGAGATAACTAACAAAACTGAGAGAAACTTGGCACTATAGAAAAATATGTCTGTCTGCCAATGCAATGAGGGTTTGAGAATATTGTTTTTAGATCTATCTTCACAGGTAACTGTGAGTTAGTCCTCACATCGGATATTTAACAATAGCAAAAAATACCATTAGCAAAGAAAAACAAGTGGTTTCCGAGTACTTTATAGTGATGAAAATTTAAACGCTTCTGATAGGTTGTTGTGTGGAATACTGGAAGGATTAACGAAGAGATAGTTGCAAATTTAAAGCAGGTAGCTCAGTAACAGTGAGGGCATGCTTTGGATTTAATGGAACATCAGTTATTACTCTTAAGACTGAATGACAGAACTACCAAAATTTGCTTGAGAATAATCTAATGACTACGTTACTGGACGGTCCAATTAGGCATATCAGCAGGATATTGCATTTATCCACTGTTTTCATTCAACATTGCCAAGGTTTGATCGCGCCATCACATGAAAATACTCGAGTTATTAATAAAAGTCCCGATCTCTATCCAAGGGAGAACCTCTAAGATGTATTAGCAACAGATGTATGCTAATACATCTAATACTAAGATGTATTAGCAAGAGCAAGAGAACCTTATTTATAACTAGTGTGTTCGTAGCGTAGCGTAACAATATTACGTTACGCTAATAAATGACAGTATAATTCTGTAACGGAACTTAAAAATCAACTCATAGAGTTGTTACATAGTCTAGGCCTTTAACATCAGATCAAATGCTGATCAAAGTTTCTATTTTTTCCGATTTTAACAGTCATACAATTTCACCGAAGACCGTAACAAACCTTACTAAAACATCACTACTGTGGTATCCCTCTTCAGTACGAATGAAAAGTTAAATTTTCTGTAAGAGTAGACATATAATGTTTGGTATCCTCTTACACAATTCTACATTAAATTAAAAATTAAATTATAAAAAATTTAATTTTTCGATTATACTGAACAGGGATCCCGCACTAGTGATGTTCAAAAAGCATTTATAAGTGCAAATGAAAGGATGATTTAATAAGGTGTTGTGGTCTTCTGTGAAATAGTATGACTTAAATCGAAAAAAACAAACTTTAATAAGCATTCCGTCTTTCATTTTTTAACTTGAAAATATTCCTTAATGCTTAATATTTTTTCCAACTAGTATAAATATAATTATATCTGAACGTTACACTTGTATAACATTGAGTTAATTCCAGTTTATCTTACTCTAATATTAATAAATTTTATTTTTTAAATAAATGTTTTAAAAATGGACTCCCCCTTTACGATAAAAGTTTAATTTTTAAAACCGAATGGCATATTAAAAATGATTACGTAACATTAGTATTATTTCAAAGAATTTATCTCAAAAACCTATCAAATGATAATACACCTAGAAAATTTATTAATAGTCTATATTTAGCCAAAATAAAATTCTGATGAATCAAATTCCAAGCGAATAACTGCGAAGTTTGATTGATGATAAATATTAATAGAATGTTTAATTCTATAACAAACGAATGAAACAAAATTTTCTTTTATTTCGAAAATACTAATTTCAATTGTAATAAGAAAATATATTTTGATGGCGCAAAGAAAGAACCTAAAGTGCCTTTTTAATTTTATGTAGATACTTTAATTTTTAGAACTTCAACGAAATATCATGTAAGCCTGCTACATCTTTTAGGTTTTTACAGAATGTAACAAATGATTTATATTCTTAAAAAATGCAAAAAATTTTAGATTCTTTAGTTCAATCCGTTTACATACCGTTACGTTAACTATGAAATTAAAAAAAAATTTAAATTGCACATAAAATATGCAAAATATGATTGAAATAGAAACATTTATTAAGTATCCTGGACATTGTTATGAAAAATGACAGATGTACAGTAAAACGTTCGACAAAGGTTTTTATTTAGAAAATACCGACCAATTTCCTAGTATTATTCCTAATGATGCAATATATCCGGAATTTCTTGTTAATTTAGTCTACGTATTACATTTTTGGGAAGAATGGGTTAAGGTATTGGAATACCATTCATTTTGTTCCTAAGTAATTAACATTTCTAAAAAATTCACCAATGAATTGTATAACTTTCCTGGCGAAAAATATCTGTGTGAAAACAAGAATCTACGTTAACACAAAGTTAAAATTGTGTTAACGTACTGTTACCAACTGTTACGAGATTTTATTCAAAATAACTTCTATATTATTACTTATTATAAAAAGGCAAAAGGCGTAATTTTGGGGTAGAGATGAGTTTTTAAAAAATTTGAAGGCCAATATTCGGTAAACTTTTCATTCAGTTCGACCTCATTCGAGATATGATACGTGAACCTTATTTCATCAAGCTTTCAACCTTAAGCCAGTTAAATTTAATAACATTAATAATCCTTATGTACAAGTTATCGTTTCTTAACCTTTAACCTGTCCTAAGATTTTGAAAGAAATAGACACTGGCACAGACAGATATATATATGTCTAAAATGCAAAGTTTGTTGTTAAAATGATCATTCAGAATTTCGTTAAACTAAATAAACTGAACATTGTTATAAAGTCTTCAACTTAATACCAAATTTTTTTAAATTGATTGTTTTTAAATGTTTCAGATATGGCTAATTTGGCATAGTTTTAATATGATACATAATAAACTGATGTATACAAATAAATATCAATATTTATTTTTCAGATTATTTCCCTTGTTTTGGCCTTACTTATAAGAAGAAGCGTAGACAGTGCAACGAAAGGCGTTGTTTAGATAAAATCCTCCTCTCGAACTTGAAAAGAATTCACCAATCTGTATTCAGTCGACGATATTATTGCCACAATAGTCATTATAGTACAGTCAATGCTAGTCAAATTTATTACATAAACTGCTACAATTTTATGAACTAGTAACAATGTATTCGTACGCTTCTGCTGTATTATATTACAGGCAAAACCTCGATTTAACAGACTGGATTTAATGAACGAAATTTTAGATCCATATGACACTTATGACTAAAATCTTAATATAAAATTTTATATACTTTTTGTGTGATTAAATTAACAAGTTATTTTTTCAAATTCAAGTCACCATTCTTACCTTCTCGCCAGAATGGGAATGTTTCTATATACAGTATTGTCATCCAAAACGAAATAAATAGGACACGTTTTTGTGTTTTCTCAGATTTCAATTTTTTTCTTTTTAACATCATTTATTTGTTTAAATAAATGCAATTAGACTGTGTTTTCCATTTAAAAAAATGTTTATTTATTTCAATATACATCGCATAATTGTTTATTACAGTCTGGGAAGTCGCTATGAATACAGACAAGCAATAATACATATTGAAAGCTTATCGTGAAATTAGACTTTTCATAACAACTTAATTTTATTACTTTTATAAGAAAGTGATTAATTTTATTATAAAACGGACTTTCGGCTTTAACGGACACTCTCTTCACCCGAATTAGTCCGTTAAATCGAGGTTTTACCGTACATTGTTATTAATATTACAATTCAACTTTTATATTATTTATATTCTTTACATTTTTATATATTATATATATATATATATTTGTAAATATAAAATTTACGACAATTACTACTATTTTTTTTAAATTTTTANAATCCTTAATTCCTTTACAAAATAAATAATTTTAATTATTCTTGAATTAAATAAGAACGTCATATTTATTTAGACGAATATTCATCTTAATAGAATTAAATCTTTATTATGTACAATTGTTCCTTTTGTTGTCTTTAAAGTTTAAAAACCGCTTACTATTGTTCTGATTGTCTTTTGAATCTTGGAAACTGTGCTTCATTACAAGTTTAATAGAAGTGAACAGTGCAATAATCTGTAAAATAATTTTGTTAAACTCATATATGTACAGTATATATAAAATAACGATATAATAATTGATATCGTTATTTATAATAATTAGTGAATTGTCTAAATTTATAAATCAACGAAAAACTCGTAAACTTTATTTAATGCATTAAATTTAAAATTGCAATTGAAACGTTTACCTGTAAAATAAAAATTGTTCCATATATTCCTCTGTAAATATCCAATCTCGTATCTATGTATCTTAACGATTTTTCAACACAGCCAACTCCTGTCTATACGTTTGATTTATGTTATAATTGGAATAAAATTAAGAAATATTTAAATTATTTCAATTAAAAAACTACAAAACATAATTATGTAAAATTTCATAAGTTTGTAATTAAGCATAAAATTAACACGTGTTTCAAGTGTAGGTGTTGCCTTTAATATAAAAAAATACCGTAATATTTTAATTTATTCTACGAGAAAGTGATGTAAGTTTTCAAACTCCCTACTATAACCTTAAGACACTGTACTTTTAATCAATCAATTCAATATTTAACGAAAAAACGTCAAGCGACATTTCTAACAAAGATCCATCATTTCGATTATGTAATCCAGTCGTTCCGAGAGAAGTTACGACCACTGTTTCCAACACTAGCCCTAATAAAAATGTGAAAACGTAAAAAAGAACAAGGATTAAAACTAAAAAGTTGTATGGAAATAAAAGCAGTGAATTATTATAAAAACGAATTACATAAACGTTTCACGAAGAATAAAATACTGTATATTTTATAACATCTTTTAAAAGGACGATAATCGTAACATAACCCAAGTTGAAAAAATGTAGTGGAATTCCGAGAAGGGAAAAAGACAGCTTGTCGAACGATGCACCTACACAATTCCGGTTACGCCAAATAAAGTACAGTTCGTCAAAGTTTCGGTATTTAATAGCAACGGCAGGCTTACGTTACGTCTTCCGACATCGAACTGTATTTACGCTCGTTAGCACTTGCAATTTACCGCATAAGGCTATGTTTGCGCAGACTGTGGAGGAAAAAACTCAGCCAACCCAGGTCACCTACGGGAGTTCTCGCCTGGTTTTCGCTTTGCGTTGGTGCAAAAGAGGGCAGTGAAAGTCCGATGAATTTACCACGAGGTGAAGTTAAAGAAGAATAAAACAAAACTATTCTTATTAACATTTCCTTCCTCTTATTTCTGACCCCCAGTGATTTTTTGAGGCTTATCCGGCTATTTTCTTTACCTTCTTTATCGTCGCCATTTTACTGTTTTCGTTGTGAGGAAGGCAGGCTGCCTGCACCAACTCGAGAGAGGGAAGAGAAATACGAAAGTTTATTGGGTTGAAGTTTTGGCACTAAAAAAAATAGTGTCTTTCCCTCTGTTGAGTTGTGTTCTGCATAAAGTGCATTGCCAGTGCGAATCCTGATTCCAAAAATTGTCTTTCGTATGTTTTTCCTCTTCTCGTCGCAGCCTAAGGCCGGATTTACACTGGAACTGTCGGATCCGGTTTAGATGGCTGGAAATTTTCATGTCATACGTCAAAATGAAAGTGTCCGCCCGGACATTTTCCGGTAACTCGATATGTCGCCGTTAACTCGAGTGGTTAAGAACAAAAAACAAGTTTAAATATGCATTCTTAATATATTTTGACTTCTTCAAGTTTTAGGAACCGATATAGAAATCGGTGCCACAGCCAATCGTTTGGAGAGTATTTAGTGCTTTGACAGGTACAGAAATGCGTTTATGTGGATGCCATTTACACTAAACCGCAGTCGTACTCCTATACATAAAGTGATTTGTTTAACAAAAACAATCATTCTGGACATCTATGTAAATGATTAAAGTTAAGTTTCTTGAAAAAATAGACAACAAGATAAAATTTTTAAAATGTTTACTGTACATATACTGTGTCGGTTATCCAGTATTTTTGTTTACGTAAAATATTTGACACAATATTATGATAATTTGTCTTTATGTAAGTTATTTATATTAATAATATTTTACAAATGAACCTTATCCGTAAAATATTTTATCGGTGTTGTTATTACTTTGAATGGAATGGTTTGTATTCTAGCGTTTTTCAGGCGTTATACGTTTGACTTCCGGCTACATATGCGTGGTTTATCATTCAAAGTATTCAACATTTTGAATTATATTGAATGAAAACACCATTATGCGTTAAAGAAATGGTGAATTTTTCAATTCTTGATACCAAATTACCTAATAAGAGAAGAAAGAAAAGTAAAAACTAAAAGTAATTACAAATAATCAATTATTGTAATTTCTGTGAATCAAAATGTCACAGGAACTAACACAATTAATTAATTTTGTTTTTATAAGATAATTGTAATTCTCGGATTTCAAATCGGTACTTCATTGATGACATATGGAAGTTCAATTGCATTGTATCGTAATTGTCAATTGCTTTTGATTCAATACTGGGCAACACTGTCTTTATAGTTTATGGTCGGTATTAACCCTGGTATGTAGGCTATACATAGTTAACTCAGAGGAACTAACGTTATTGTGTACGGGAGGGACTTATCTGAACATTACTATAAAAATTCCTAGTATAGCATAAAAAGCAGTCACAATTTACAATACAATATAATAAATTTGAGGAAACTATTGAATATAATACAGGATGATTTTTAATTAACGCAATACTTAAAAAGAAGGTTGAAAAACACTTTGATCTCCCCGTGATTTTTTTTCTCACGTGGTTTAATCTCACGGCATGCTTGAACCTATAATTAAATTTTTGCGGCACAAATTTTCACGGTAAAAATCACGTGATTTTTACCGTGTTGTGTTTATAAACATTCTATCGCCATATTACTTGCCACTTAACCTAATTCTTTTTCTCTATATATTATTTATTTATAAAGAAAAGACACTGTGGCCATTAGTCCTTTGTCAAGTGTCTTCAGACGAAAAGAAAACAAGAAAAAAATCAACAAATATAGCCGAAAGTCGATTAACAAAGTTTGAATTAAATAAAATACAGTAGTATTGTTGTTCTTTAAAATAGCAGCAGGTTACAACAATAGTTATTTAAATTACAATACAAATTTTTCGTTTATCCAAGGTGTAAAAAATGTATACAAACTTTAAATGTTAAAAAATAAATATTTGTTTTTTGTTGGTAAAGATTGTTATTAAATTGAAATTAAGGAATAAAAATAGAAGTTACAGCAACTACAAACTAGTTTTTAATATTTTTGGGACATCCTATATTTCGTATTTGTTAACCTTGTTCGAATCAATCATGTCATCCATTCAATATTTTTCATATTTAAAAAGTCGATAAAAATTTTAAATGTCTGTAGAATTTGAAACGTCTATACAGTAAAAAAGCTATCGGTAAATATTTTAAATCCATTTTTAGGTGTTTAGAATAGCGGGAGCTCATGCTATTCAGGTTATTTGGGCTCCGGTCGGGATGGTATTCTCAGCAATTTTTCATGTATTATATGGTTTATTTTATTGGTATAGGCAATGTGACACATGGGCGATTTGCAGAGGGAAAAAGTGCCTCAGGGAAGTCTTTTATGGAAAACTGGCTTCTATTACTAACGTGAAGTAAACCCGAAAATCTTCACGTGGCCAGCCCTTGGCCAGGCGCAAAACCACAACCAACTACCAGTGTTCTGAAGTTTTTATCTACTTCGGCTACTAGTATGACGTAGATATGTCGGACTCGTTTCTCAACATCCGATTGTCTCGCTGTGAACCTGACCGAATTGGTGATGCTCCTGCCAAGTTTAGCGACTAGGAGGCAGGAAATGTTTTAAAATTTTCATTTATCATTCAAATCTCATCTTCTAAGTGTGTTTAACATTTTTAAAAAATGTTTAACGTTCATATCTAACGAACAAAGTTAATTGTTATTTTCTGATCCTCCAAGCTCTCGACATAGGCTAAATTGACAAATTTATAACATTCAGAATGAATTTTTCTAGTTTTTACCATGTCAGAACATTTCATTAAATTTTGTATTAAATACTTAGATAATAATCTTAATTTGTCGTTAATTTAATGTACAAACCATAACAAATTACATGATAGTATTGTTTAAAAAATCACCGCATTAGAGACGAATAAATAAATATATAAAGCGTACCCGATTTAACTCTAACTTTTACTTCTTAAACATAATTTATTATATATCATTCAAATTGTATTCAAAGAAACATTAATTTATTTTGTTTGTTTAAGATGTAAACATTATTTTAGCATCCCCGAAGCCAAAACCTATGAAGGTGGGTTATACGAAAATACGATACGATATTTTGGCTTGTGCATTTAATTGTTAATTATAAATATTGTTGAATTTTCTCAGCTAATTCGAGCTTTATAAAATATGTGTTTCTGGCCTTGTTACACTTCTATATACTATATGAATGTTGTTTATGGAAATAGGAATAGTCATAAATGCAATAAATAGTGATTATTTTTTGTTTTCGAAAAACTAAAAAGAACTACACAGTAGGTAATATTAGACCGACTTTAAATAATTTCTTAAGTGAATAAAAACTTTTTAAATACAAAAATATTACTTACGAATCTTTTGCACGAATATGGAACATATTTATTATCAACATAAACGTCAGCATCTTTTTCTCCACAACAACCTACCTATTTATTGAACAAATATTAGACTATATTTAGAGAATTAATTAAAATGTCAATTAAAAAAATACAAATATTATAAATACCGTGCTTTGTATCGTATCCATAAACATCTTGTCTTCATTTGAGAACAGATAATTTTCTGTTTTATACTTAAGAACTTTAGCCAAAACATCTCGAAGCTATTTAATTAAAATTAAAACAAATTATTGAAATAGGCATTTTATAAAATAATTATATACAAGATGTTTTATTTTTTTAAAAATGAAATATTTAATAGATTTATAAATAAATATATTTTATTCATAAATGTATTAAAATTTCACGTTTAGAAAAATAAAATTCAATACACAAATATTATAAATTTATTTTTTTAATAGCAATAATTGCTTTTTAGTACATTTTAAACGCCTTTAAAGACCGTAGAAAATAAATGATTAATTTTTAGATTATTTATATTTCTCGAAAATATTTTCTACTATTAATTTATTATTAGAACTACATATTGGATTCGACACAAAAATAATACTTACTCTTCTAGGTTTAATAAAATCATCAGATTTCGCTAATAAAATAAGGCAACTTAAAGCAAGAATCATCAAAACGAAGTTAATTAATGATATCTATAAAAGTATCGTGTTAATTCTTAAAAAAAGAATGACGTTCCAAAATGTTGATTTAAAGCATAAAAGATTTTTACTTACAATTTTATTAATTTTCACATTTTCTAACTTCACCAGAATAGTTATACTGACAACAAACAATAGAAGACCGAGCACTATAGCAATATACGAAATGACAAAAATAATCCAAAGGTTTGACGTATTAGGAACTGTTGATCCTTCTATTGTCAAATCATAATAGATTGCATTTATTACTGCGTCTGCAGATATCCATATTCCTATACCAAACAAAACTGCGGACAAACACTGAAAATGAATCGAAAGTATTTAGAGTAAAACTTCATTAAATTAAAAAATTTACATGTACGTAAAGTATCATAAATATATATATTGAGCGTCGACAATATATATAGTCGACCTTGAAGAACTATTTAATAGATTTAGGAAACAATATACAGTGGGTGATCGGTTAACGAACATAATCCGTTCCAAGACTTTGTTCGCTATCCGAATTGTTCGNGTCATAAATTAGAGCATTTGTAATTTTAAGTAACATTTTAAGTAAAATTTATTTGTTTCCATGCAATTTTATCCTTATAAGCAGAAAATTAAGCCGTAAAACTGAATTAGCTATGTGGGGAACCCCCGTGAACTTTGACCTATCGACCGGGAAGTTTTACCAGAATCTCACCGATAACGAGAATAGTTTAAGTTTAAAATTTGAGCTTTCTAGACCCGGTAGTTTTTCTCTAAGACCGTCTAAGTTTTTCTCTAAGAGAAGTGCCGGATGAGAAAAAAGAAGGAAATACAGCCCTTTTGGCGATTTTTGCAGTTTTTACTTGCTTATATTTTGGCAACTGCTTTATAGAAAATCCTGAAATTTAGCAGAATACCTAAGAAACCAATTTTATTTCAAACAAGATATTCGGAATTACTTTGCGGGTTTGGAAGGTGGCGAAATCGACTCCCGAAAATCGGGAACTCTGATTCCTGTATGTATAAGTCAGTCGGTGACTTTTTTACTTGGCTTGGAGTCCCTGAACTTACTTTGTTAAGATAAGGCTTCACTCACAAAACAATACATAACGAAATTTCAAACCAGATACCTCAAACTGGTTATCCCACGTATAATTTATAACTTTTTACAAACCATTGCTGTAATAAAGTTATCACCTTCTTTTCTATTAGCTTAGAATCAAAATACGAATATGATCCTTTTTTATTTCAAAGGAAGACAATGACGAAGAGAATTGACTGGTCAACGCAAAAGATTATTTTTAAAAATGTTGCTATTTTTTAAAAATATGATTTAAAATTGCAGCCAGGCATTGTGACGATGTTACAATAAACAATTGCTCCTTCTCTATTGTTTTTAAATTCAATTTTTTTTCATATGGAAGTTAAAATACCTTGCCTAAACGAATTCCTAAGCATGTAAATTAAGTAACTATTATTATAAAATTTTTCATAGTTGTATTAACGGAAATATTTCTTGTATTAAAACGTGGAATCAATAAGTTTGCTAATTATGTCTAAAACTATTTTTACTTGATGTTTCAATAAATTTTCTTAATTATATTTTTCTAAAATATAAAATATCCCTTAGTTGTAAATGCAACATTTTTATTTTACCGATTTCAATTATTTCGATTGTTTTATTTTAAAAGCAACAAATGAATACTTTTGGAGTCGAATGACAAAAGTTTCTTTCGTAGAAAAAAGGACTCATTTTAATGGAAATTATTGTAACTAATTTAATTAGAAATGCAACATATAAACGCTTATATTTATAATAGAGATATTTACAAACAAGTTTTATATATAAAAATAGTTTACATAAATAAAAATGAATGTCTGAAATTTTTCTAAATTTGACAAAAGAAAAACAATTAATTTCATATAAAACAAGCGATTATTTATTATCAGATTGTGGCAATGACGGGCTGCAATATTTCATCACAATCTTCTCAATTCTTTTAATAGAGTTTGCCCCTGTATATCACACTTCTCCTGTTAGCAATAGAGTCCTCCCAGTTATCTATCTAGCTCTGTTCAATGGAACTTTTATGAATTGAAATAACGTGACTTTCGGTTCCAACTGTAATTAGTATGTAGTTAATCTGGTCCTCCTGTATCTACGCTTTCCATATCTGGTCTAGAATTTCATCTATCTAATTCCGTTCTCGAGTTTAATGAAATGATGACAATGGGAATTTATAGGTCTACAATTTTTTCAAATTGCAGCCCAATGACTGTAATAAATTAATTATTTTGTACTTACAAATTTATAAACATTTAAAAACTATGCATAATATTCAATTATTCTTTACACATTTCCCTTTAGGTATAATATTTTATAAATATTAATAATTTATATAATTTAATTTATGTATTTTTTATACCTGTATTTTTTATTTAAAACTTGAACGTGTTTTCGAAATGGAAAGTTTAAAAAGCTAATTAATAATATTTATGCAATTAGAAACAATTAATTTAGAAATGTAATGAGGTAAGAAAGCACATTAGCTATTTTTTTCTTACGATCAGTATATAATTCTTTGTCACTCTTCTTATTAAACATGTTATCAAATCTATAACAATTAATTAATTTATAAAAACTTTTTATTTCATGTAATTTGGGGGTATAAATAATAATTTTTTTTATTTTCATTTCAAAATGTTTTATGAATATGCAATTGTTTAAAAAAAGCTTGTTAAATGTAAGCAGATCATTTTTTTTCTTAATGTACTAATATGGAATAAGAAGCTTGAGTACATATAAACAATAAAATGTCACCTTAGAACAGAAATGTTTAAGGAAGAATTTCTTCAATTATTCATGATGAAAATGTATTATTCTTCAATTCTAATAGATCAGGTTCCTCTGTGTATAATCATTAATAAACTATTATTTATATTAACTCTTAAATCATACTCTCCTGGATCTGTAAGAGGGAAAACGGAACGAACGATCTTACACCTTTTTCTGTTAAATTTTTACAATTCGGTGCTGAACACTCAATCATTTTTCAAATATTGAGAAATCAAACCAATTGAGATCGAAGGAAACAATCAGTTTTGCTCTAGAAATATCATACACATAACCTGAAAGTGATCCAAGATGGCGACTGCCGCGATTCATCACTTATCGTGTGTAGATATTTATTTTATTTCAAATTACTATCTAAAATCAAGTAAATATATTTTCTGATATGGAAAAATATTTAAATAATTATCTGGCCGGCTTTTCAGATTCCCTGTCACAATCTTGATCATAATTTGACATCATCTATAAAAATATTATCTTACATTGTCTAATTTTAAAAATAATTTTACTGTCATATTAATATTTACTTGCGCAAAACATTCATTTATTTATACATTTACAAATACTAGAACAACTTTCACAAATTTAAAATAAAACAACATAAATTGCAAGAAATTCTTTTTGCTGCCATCTGTTGGCATACATTGCAAATGTTTGCGAAACTTTATTTAAATGTAAAAACTTCAAATAAATAATAGAAAAACACAAAATTATTATAAGGATTAACTTTCTTTAATATTTTCCATTTTAACTATGACCCATGACACCAGCTAGAAATTATTTCGGTTATACTACTATATATTACGTGCTAAATTATTTTTAAATTAAATTTCATCACTTTTATATTATGTCATATTTACTTGAACAATAAACATATTTTAAAATAATAATCACAACAATTAATATACACTTTCTCCCTCTAAATAAATACTTAATTGCAAGTCATCACCTACTGCTGCCGTCTGGTATCAGAAATTGCAAATAATTACAAATTTTAATTTAAAAATAAAATAAAATAAAATAAAAAATAATCTAATGCAGATAAACACTAAAAAATTAATTTTAGATAATACTTAATATCTTAACATGATCTAAAACACTAATTAAAATTTTCTTAGCCATACCCTCAACACACTAGCTTAAAAGCTTAAAATTTTATTACATTTTAACATGTATTCACATCAATTTTATTACTATTCTTATTTTATCTTACATTATAAACATTTCTAATATACCAACATAATAATATAAACACTTGCTTGTGCTCCCCTCTGCTGCCTCTGTTGGCAGTTCTTTCAAATTTAATTTAGTTTTTTATTTAAACAAAAGAAAATGTATTTTATATTTAATAATTTTCTAACTGCTTTTGTATTTTGTTATAATTCATTTATTTTAAATACAAATGCAACAATTTAATTTATTAAATATGTAGTTTTTTTTGTAATATTTGTGTTTAGTAGTTAAATTGTTTCGACTTAACTGAATTTGAATATTTTTGTATAATTTTTTATTATCCATACTCTAAATGAGTACTCTATTTTTCTGAATGAGCGAATCTAATTGATCAGAGTATATATTTTCCTTTTCTGAACAAGAAACTGAAGTAGCTAGATCGCACACTTTTTAGTTGGACTAACTTCTGGAAAGATGAAATTAAAGTGCAAATGTTGTTGAATAAAGATATGTAGATGTTGAATTTTATCTCCCCACTTTCTCCTCTTATTAAATATCTGTTAAGAATTAATTTTTTTATACAAATAAATATTAATGTAAGTTAAATATTAAAAATACAAACTATAAAAGTATTTGGGTAAATGCCCGGGGATCCTTTCAGAGTTTAAAGTAGGGTACCCCTATGAGCCTCTCTGATGCCCATAATATGACTTGGTTTTTAATTTTGTCGGAGTCGGAGTCGAGTGTTTTTTTCACCGACTCCGCAGCCCTGATTGGAGGTTGTCCAGCTTGACAAGTGAAGTTTAACTAGGTTTCCTTCACACTATTCTACTCGAAATGGGATCAAGCTCCCCCCTTTTAAAGCTTCCCAGTAGGCATCATACTAGCTTACAGACATCTGCTGTACACTTGTTACCAAAATTTAAACGCTTCAAAATTTCTTGTTCTTGATCATCTGTGTATTTACCACTGCTACTTTCTTTTCACAGTAGATTTGGGTAAGCCAAGAAATTAGGCTATGTTAGACACCTACAATGTGGAAACTATAGTAACAATCTTTGGCCTATCAATTTTTCTCTACTATGCTGAATGCATCCAGCATACATCAAAATTTGACAGCAATACTATTACCTCAATATTTCATTGAATTATATCCATACCGTATTACTTAAAAATAAATAAACATTCCATAACCTAGCCTTCTGTATAGGCAGCTTCCTGGCCTGCTAACTGAAATATTGCTTGAGTTTCTTCATACGCTCAAAGTCTGTCTGACCAAATCTATTTACATAATTTTCCAA